GTTACGATGGACGTATAACAATATAATAAATGTATTTATATTTGTCGTTATTAAGGACTAGCAGGAAATATCTTATAGTAGTATTATCCTAATTGAATAATCGATCGACACGCAAAGGGAGGGGTGTCTGTAAAATCAATCGACTACAATTATTTTCGCGTTTCCACCTACGCATCTTCCATCATCATTTTATGTCCGTCTTGCGACTCGAAAGGTGGTCAGGAAATTGTTAGAAATTGAATCGTTACTTTTGTAATTGTTGAAATAATATATACGTTCAATCCTGAAAGAATTTCGGTAAACTCCGATAAAAGAATGTTTGGAACTCGCGCGCAAAGGGTTGGATAATGAATTTTTCTTTCTCGCATGGTCGAATATTGTCAAATTCTCGGAAAAAATTATCCCAGTGTATACGCCGAAGGGAAACTTTTGTTTTCTCCGCAATATTATAATGGATGGTAGTTGGTAGTAAGGTAGGAAGGTAGATAATTAAATTTTTTTCCCCGAGAAAAAAAACTCATTCGCGATGCCAAGGGAAGAAGAAGACGGGTGGGGGGACGGAAGGGGGACAGAAGCATCTTTCCTAATTCCTTGCTCGAGTAAACGTCCCTTTCGAACAATTTAACCGATCGTTTTGTCTTTCTCTTTTTTTATTTGTTTCCCCATTCTTTAACCTCGTAACGTTTAAGAATTCGTTTGGTAGAAAATCGTAAAGACAACGTAATAGAAGAACCAGTAAAGTAAGAAAGATAGTAAGTTTTGTGCAGGCGCATTCGGTGCAACATCCGAGTTTCGTTCATCCTGAAAATATCATTTTCTTTTTAAATTATTTTTCTTTTTTTCAAAGTGCACTACTCTTCCTTTGTGAAATCGTAAAGAACTGTGATGCATGCCGTATCTTTCTACTACTTTCTCTGCATCGACCAGTTTTACCCTCGGAAAATGACTTCAAATCGTTTGTTCTTCAAACGAGGACGAGAAATTCATCGAAGAGGTGACGAAGTCGTAGGAAGTTTGCTTAAAAAAAGACAAATTTGTTAAAGTATTATACCGAAGACGTATGATGTAGTATCTACTGCAATACTCGTCTTCATTCGTGTTGTTGCTCCATATTTCTTTCATTGTTTTCTTTAAACGATCGAGCGAGCTTGCATAAAGAAAAAAAAGATTCCGGGATAAAAGGAATTTGAAGAAAAGGAAGAACGAACGTCGGTACAAGGAAATAGAAGGGAAAGATTTAGGACAGTAGGGATAGTAGGGACAGTAGGGAGGAAGATGACTCTCTATTTGCAAGGAAAAAAGAAAAACTTGGCGATATAGAGCGTACGAATTTCTTCGAAGAACAAAGAACGTGTGCGGTGACTTGACTTCTTGAACCCTTTAAGTCCTATGGACGCATATATGCGTTTAGTAAAAGTTGCCAAGCGTTCATATACGTGTTTGTCAATATAAATGCAAATAACGTAATGTTGTTTTGTGTATTGATTATTAAAATTACGTTTAAGAAACAAAAACTTTAATTATTAAATATAATTTATTATTAGAATTTGCGTGGTTAATAATATCAATCAAGGAAAGAAACAAACTAGTAATAAAGTATTCCGTCCCTACTAAACACTTCAGCAAAGAGTATTCAGCACTCAAAGGGAAACCAAGCGTAAGAAAAAGACATTTGAATAAGTCTGATTTTTTTAAGTTACAGATCTCTCATCATTTACATCTGCGATACGACAGAAACGTCTTTAGGGTATTAGAAACGAAGGGTAAGTTAAAAAAAAAAAAGGGAACAGAGTTGGGCACGAGAAGCGAGAACGCTACTACTTACGCTAGCGCGCTACTTGATAAACACTTGCATTTAAGATAATATAAACATGTATACAAAAAATTCAAAATTTTTTAAGTATTTTTCTGAAAATTGGCTTCGCATTTTGATAAAATACTTTACCACGTTAACACCCTAAAGGTATACTACTAATATACTAATGCTCGTTAAAATCCGTGAGGGCACTACCGTAAGGTCTCCTTGTTAGTTCTCTTAAAATTTCTTTGGATTACAGATACATGTAATAGACGGGCGACGGCGGGTCTATACGGAGGGGGGAGATCGATATAGGACTCTCGTTGAAATCTAATAAAGCCTCGGTCGATAGACGAAACACCCATCCGTCCAATGGGCTATTGGTTATATGGTCCCTAGTATGGTCCCTAGTATGGTCCCTAGTATGGTCCCTAGTTTTGTTTCGTATTTGTCGAAGGTCATTGTCAAATGGTCTAAACGAAGATCGCCCGAAGGATTCCACGTAATTACGAGCGGTGGTGGTCTGTCAAGGTTGAGTATCACTGAAGGTCTACTGCAGCCATGGAGATGAAAAGGGAGCGAACCGCGCGAACGAGTCTGCCCGGTCTCTATTCCCCGTGTTTCATGGTGCAGTCCTCCTTCTTCTTTTTCTTATTCTTTTTTCCTTTCGCCGTTTCTTTATATTAAACTACGATTCTCGAATTCTTTAGGAACGATATTAATTCGCAAAACGAATTTTCGTCGTTTACTCAACGATTCGTTAATAAAACTGAACAAACATCTCGTACTTATTGCTTAACCTTTTTAAACTAAACTTGCACAAAGTGCCAACGACGATATATATCTTCACGTATATTAGGGCTTCTTACTATACTAATAGTAAGAAGTCAAATTAGCTCGATACTTTTTGCGATTAGTACGATTTTTTGCTCGACACTATAAAAGGATTAAGCGAAAATACGAATGGGGATATTAGGCAAAGCTAACTTGCCGAGTTATATGTATTTCTCATTACGATTACGAATGTAAAAACCTTTCGATATGGGGAAAATCGATAAACGTCATCATAATTATCCTTTCACGCTCGATCAGTAGTTATTATCGGGCGTGATCAACGATTAACATACCGCTAACTAAGTAAGCATGTAATGAAAGTTAACGATGAAATTAACGTCAGGGTTGTCGTATCCAAAACGGCAATTTTCTTTACTCGCTCGAACGAAACATTCCTAACTAATTAAGCTAAATCTTTTTCATATACTTCATACGCTTAGGTAGAAGAAGAGTTCATAGAAGAAATCGTAAAAGAAAACAAAACGATCGATGAAAACGACGATGAATCGAAAGCGTCTTGTCGTTTGAACACACAAATGCCGTGTTAGCGGAAATAAATAAGCTGTCGAGTTTGGACGATCGAAATATAAAATTCATATGTATCAAATTGTCAGGAAAAAACGAACGTTAGCACAAATTTTGTCTTTATCTGTATGCGATTAATTTCGCATAGCAACTCGTTGCTGGTTGCTCCGTTAAAACGGCTCCAACTGCATTTGTCTTTTATGTAATTAGATATTACCACGTTGGAAAAAGAAGACGTCTTTCTTTGCGTTTCTTTTTTTAAATATTTAATACGTAAAAACTATTTTCATACGAATACGATCGTTCATAACGATTCCAATTCGTACCGGTAATCTCGAGAATGCACGCGACCTTTCATACTTTAACTTGCTTGTTTCTTTTACGACAATAGGTAAAATCGTAAAAAATGCAGTGGGAAGGCTAATTTGTTTTTGCTTACAAAAAAAAAGAAACAAAAAGGTAAAAAAAACACACAAAGAGACGTCTCTTTTTCGTTGGACGGAGCGTCCCTGTCGGGAGAGTTATTAACGGCAATCGATTTATAATTTGAATTCGGTGTTTCACCCACGTTCATGTACCAAACACAGTCTCCTCCGAAATGAAAAGAGGGGAGCTAGCCTCGAGGCATAACTTACACAATGCTATGAATCACGTAGGAACCCTGACACGCGTAAAAGAGTAGGAAAAGAGAGAGAGGGGAGGATTCGTAGGGTTATCGGTCGTGGCATGAAACCTTCGGAAAGTATCAGCTTGCTGATGATGTGTCGCGTATAAAATGTACAAAGTTTTCGGCGATTTAAACATCGATTTAACATTTTGGTAAAGAAACGTTGAGCTATTTTGCTTAATGGAAGTTAAATTGGAACGATTTAGAAACGTGCAGCACATGAAACGAGATGAACAAAGCCCAAAGTTTTTCGAAAACGAACGAAAAAAGAGAACGCGAGTGGTTCCTACTTGTTCCACGGGGAAAACAAGGGGAAGAAAGATGCAATAGTTTCCGTTCTTAAGTTCGTACGTTTCTTCTTTCGTGTTAGTAGAAGTCAGCGCAAAGCGATTACAGATAGAAATAAAAAGAAACGTTCGTTGTGTTCTATGACGTGTTATTGCACGGGTAATAAAAATAGTCGAAAGATCGGGACAACAAAACAAGAAGGGCGGATAACCCGTTGAGAAATGGAAGATAATTATGTTCGACTACGTAGAAAGATGAGTGCCACGCATGTAGTTTCCGCGAAAATGCGAGAGGTATCAGAAAGTGCAACAAGGAGAAGAATATACAGTGGGTATAACAGAGACTCGGTAGCAGAGAGACAACCGATGCCAAGAGACTCGAGAAAGAGAGTCGCTGGCCGATAGAAGACTCGCTACGAGAGAGAGAGAGAGAGAGAGAGAGAGAGAGAGAGGTATACGCGTTGAACGAAGAGAAAATGTTACACATATGTTGGAGAAAAAGAGAGAGAGAGAGAGAGAGAGAGAGAGAAAGATTGGGTGCTGGTTGAGTTGGTTGGGTGATGCCGGGCGGAGCGAAGGGGGAGTCCGGCCGGGTGTTTCGAAGAGAGGGGAACCCGCTGGGGCGGGCGTCAAGGGAAAGGGGAAGTTGTGGCAGGAGGTGGAGGAGAAAAGGCTGCCGGGCGCCATACTGCCTTGGTTCTTCGGCACAGTACGCGGCCAGCGCCTCCGTCGATCGTTGCAGCTATAGACTAGTCATAGTAGTAGTGCCAGCCAGTATAGAAACGGTGTGGTAGTCGGCAACAGTAGTCTCCGTCGTTGTCGTCGTTCGCGTTCATCGACATCGGCGTCGTCCTCGTCGTCGTCGTCGTCGTCGTCGTCGTCCTCGTCGTCCTCGTCGTCCTCGTCGACATCGGCGTCGTCTTAATACCGTCGCGGTAATTTACTTTATTTTCTTTCCTTTTTTTTCTTTTCCCCCTTTCTCCACCTCACGGTTTCTCTCGTGGGAGACTACGTGTAGCATTCGTCTCGTCGACCGGCACACATTATACGTTTTTTCCTTTCCCGTTCCTCGTCTTCCCGCTGCTGCTTCTTCTCTCTCTTTCTCTTTGTGGAAGGAAGGATAGACGGAAACATATATACTGGTGGATTTTAAAGTCGATCAAGAGGAACCAAGCTTCCTTGGAATACTTTTTCGAGCGGTGAGTGAACCCTTTTCTTCAATGGCAAAATCAAAGTTAGGATACGCCACGAACGCGAAACCGTTCGTTTTCTTCTTTTTTGCTTCTAACAACATCGCATTTGTTTATTTTTATTTTATATATTATATTCTCTTTATTCGTAAATAATATTTAATATTTTGTCGGTTTTTTATTTTTTTTCAAATCAAATAGTACTCGTTTGACAGAACGCAACAGTATCGTTATTCAAAGGGTTATATCAACTGTTGGAACAGGAAGGGAATCTTACAAAGGGGTAGTTTAGCCCCTTTTCGTGACGTTTCGGTGAGTGCGTGCGTGCGTGAGAACAAGAGAAACCTGTGAGTTTCGTTATTTTGTTAAGCGTAAGAAATTTTAATCCGTTTGCCGAGATATTTATTCGTCGATAATATTCGAAGATAATACGAAACTGTATACGTATGTATGTAATATGGTATTATCGATTACCTGGTAAGTTACATCTATTAATCTGAACATCGTACGCTAAACGATGAAATATTTATTCGAAACGTTTTGTCATTCTTATTTATTACTCGTTTAAAAACTCAAAATACACACATTGATGTTAACGAAATGAAGAAATGGTTTGAATACGTCGAGCCGAGGGATAATAGTCAGGGTCTCAAGTTTGTAGCAGATGTTTCTCGTAAAAACATTCATAATAATATAGAAAAGTTGAGCGACCGTTCCCTCTTCTCTCTTTCTCTCTCATTCACTCGAGTACGAGTTAGGATAGTCGTCAGTCCGCTATTCGGGCCACGAATTTGGAGTTTCGGGGTTGCATTATGCATGCTGTCGCACGATGCACGAAATATTAGCATAAGTGGTGCAGCTCTACCATTACAAAGACGAATTACTCTCTATGCCATAGGAGGAAGAAGGAAAATACCAAGATGAGAAGAGTCCAGTCGTGGACGATGCTGAGAAAGATCGTTGATTGCTCTCGAGAAGCGTATCGCGGTTCTGTCCAACGTGGATTAACGCTTGGATGCCGTGTCCCCGGTAGTCAGGTTCACTACCTTCTCCGCATTATTCAGAAAACTTCATGCATATTCAGGATGGACGGGTAGTGTTCTCCACGGTCTCTCGATGATGTTCATAACTTTCGGAAGAGATATCCGCGTGTCTCGTTACTGGCCCTACCGTTTCGCTAAAGGAAGACAAGACCGAGGTAACAGTTTCCAAGCTATAACCTACATTTGCATATTTTTTCCTTGCAAGGACGACCTAACTAAACTTTTTAATCGAATCTATTTGCCCTCTTTTGATAATCGACGATAGTTCGGACAGATGTAAACGTAGATAAATCGACTGATAAAGAACTTTTTCCTTCCATTGCTAGTTTTTTTTAGAAATTTCATTGATCGTACGATCGACGTCGCGAGTTAAAACACATCAATAAATTCTTGCGATACGCGTGATAGAAATTTCATTGTAAGAGAAATGAGTCGCCCATTAACGTTAAACTACGATAATATTGGATGTGTGTTGGAGGAATTCGAGTCGTCGTGTCTCGTCTCGTTTTTCCCTTCTATCCGGTTGTCCAATAGCCGTACTATCCTTGTCGTCCATACTTCTTAAGAACGTTGAAAAGAACGCTGGAATTCCTGGAAGGAAGGACGAGAAGGTTAGATCTCAAAGGAAAGCATAGAGAGGAAGGTGGGTAGCCAAAAAAGAAACCGATGGTTAGGGTGGCCCAAAATGCAGCTGATGATGCAATTTGCTTCTATTTTTGGGTTAAATCAAACGAAATGGAAGTCTTTGTTTGTGAAAAAGAGGAAAAAGGGAGAAAGAGGAAGTCCCCTCCTGCTGCCAGGTTCTCGCCAGGTGTCAAACTTTTCTTAAACGGACCAACAGGGTCGTCGATACAATAAGACCGAAGATGGTAGGTGTACTGCAGCAGCAACAGCAACAGCAGTATACAGCAAAAACCAAACACAGGTTTCCGGACTCCTCAACTTGGCACAGCTCGATTATCTGCGAATCAGCTGGCGTTTTTCATTGTTACGACGAGTGTCAACAATTTTGCGAATACGTCTTACCTACCTACCTTTCGAAACTTTATTAACAAAGAGAAAGAGAAAAAGTAACATTTGTTCGTACACTTGCAAACTTATAACAAGATTCCCTATTTTATTGAATGGTCATAATATAATTAATACGATGAGATCAAAATATTTGTTATTGAATGGAATGAACATTTTTCTCGTAGAATACATATGGAATCATTATGATTTTCCTCGAAAATTAATTCGGCTTTTGTATTTATGTGCGACCTTATCTCGTGAACAATTAACGCTAATTAACGGACCGTTTACTCTCACGCCCGATTATTACTAGTCATTAGAGACAGAGAGTAACAACAGCCAGCCATCTACCATTTAACGAATCGTTCCATGATCCAACGATGAATCGTTTCTAGATCCTCCGGGTGCGTAGGTGTTCGTTCTATCTATTGTACGGGGATATTCAATAGGAACGTCTGCCTACACTCTCTTGCTTCTTCAGCCATAACACGATGCATGGAATTCGTGGAAATTACGCGAGTATCTCTCCCTCTTATTTTGATTTTGTTCCTTGATATCGACGCGTTATGGCGTAGGCCAAAGGAAATGCATCCCACAATGCTCCCATTTACACTCCCTTCCTAAGAATCGGACAATGATCGGCGATCTTTTTTTCTTCTATTCGTTTATAGTTGAAGAAAAACGAATAGGAGGATAAGTTAAAAATGATTATTAATTTATTAAATATATACGAGAATATATCGAATAATATTAATGAAAATCCGTCGAAGCAACGAATAATAAATACTCATCGAATCAGTAAATAATTATTTCAATGAATTTCCTATTGGAGTTATTTTAAAATAATTTCCCGTATACATTTGTAAAAAATACTCGTGAAATTCGAATCCAACTCGATGTATATATTTTTAGATAATTTTTTTTTTTTTTTCAAATCAAAACAGACCACGTCAATTAATTGGCCCTCTTCTTCCTTTTTATTGTCTTGCAATTAATATCGTCGTGATTTTATTCTCCCTCCGTCGTATTAAAAGAAGTTTGAAAGGGAAAAAAAAGAAAAAGAACTTGGCCAGTACTTTTTTGAATGTAACGGAGTAATTTGAACGCGTCTAAACTCGGCCGTTGGAACGGTATTAAAAGTTTCATTGGAAAAATCTAACTATGCATAGGCAAAGGGTTTCTCGGTACTCACAGGAGTATACCTATACGTAAAAAGGACTCGGTTAAACTAACGTTGGTATTTGTGCACGGTACGTGTATACTACTTTCTTCTCTCATCGTTCTCAAAACTTTCGACCATTGTCCTGGTTAACGGCATTTTACTTTGGCATTTACCTATCGTCGAGTTCTTCTAATGTTTGCGACCTACCATTTTACGAGCTTGAGAAGAGGAGAACATATATATGGATTTATCGTTCATAGAATGCGCGTTTTTACCTTATACCGATGATAGCGTGCACAAACTTTATCGCATCGTTTTATCGGAAGTTAGTGGCGTGCATTGTTTACGCGCGAAAAAAAATCTATATTATTTTTAATCTTATCGCGAACAAAGTCACCGCGCGATTAACATTTACGCTTTGTTAAACCAAGCGTGCACCCGTATCTCGTTATGTATCTCTCGTCATAGATCTTGGTGGTAGGGGTAAGGGGACAGGGGGCAGGTTAACGTTGACAATCAAGCTACTTATTACTTGCTTCTTTATTATTAGAAGCTAAATTATTCCGTTAAATTGTGCAACACGTCTTACGCGCTTATGAAATATTACGAGAAATTTCTTTTCTAATGATCTTTCCGCGCTTTAATGGAAATTTGAAATATCACGCGAGAAATCCTTTTTTTCTTTTTATCTTGCTTGTTGGCTTGCGGCAACCGTCGTAGTAGTCGATACGTATCGATTGCTTTCCTTTCGATAAAACCAACCCACGTTAATGGGGCAGCTCGATCGGTGACATTTACCATGAAAGTCATCGATTATTTTCACGGACGGCACCTGTCCCCCGCATTCCGCTTCCCGCATTCCGCTTCCCGCCTTTGCTTTACACGATTTTTCCTTTATTTATAGCGATAATAATAGACAGGTCGATGGTTTTGCATAGCTCGGCAATATATTTTTCGTCGTAGGAACGATTATATTGGCAATATCATTTTTATTCGCCTAGGATAAAAATTGCCGTAGAAAGTGCACGTCGACGGTGAATTATGACCGTTGACCTATACGTGCTTTCCTTCTTCTTTTTTTTTTTTTTCTTCTTCTCCCATTATTTCCGAACGTAAAATCGTTCGACTAGAAAACACGGAATAGATACGTACTTGCGAAAATTATTTTTTTCTTTTTTTTTTTATTAATAGAAGAATATACAATCAATTCTCGCACAGCCGAGACTTATAAGATAATTTTTACTGACTGACGTAGTTGTTACAACTAATGTTACAATGATAATTGTAAACGGATATATTATAACTGTTATAGTATAATTATATTATTATTTAAGTAAATCTTATTCTTAGGTCGCAAGGATAGAATATTTTGTAGTTTATATACTAAATTAGAGTTTTCCCAGGAAATTTTTGGCTAGAGGGTTTCTCGTATTGTTTGCTAAAAGATTTTTGTAGAGTTCACTGAAACTTACGAAAATATAAGAGAATAAAAAAGGTGAACGTTCCGGTCATTATTATAGCAGTCGTTTTAACCGGCAGTCAAGTTTGTCCCATTTACGACGAATTTTAATGAAAAATTAGACGCGTTCCTCGTAGAAATCTGTAGTAATATCTATGATGTATTAGAACGGAGTGTACTAATTCGAATAATCGATTGTTCCATCACCTATGAATGATTCTCGAATTAGAATGAGAAATGTGTGGAAAATATATGAAATCCTTAGGAGTGTTGTAGTAATAGGTATCACGATCGAAATCAAATCCAATTCGCTCGCGATTCGCTTGCCCCTTTCGTGGAAATTCAAACGGCAATGAGATTTATGGGACTGTATTCGCCATTAATATTCCAACGCTTAGTTACTCATTCGAACGTCAAAAGTTTTCAACGAAATAGGGGTTTATAAAAGCTGTTGAAAAAAGTTGTTAAAAGTTAAGTAAAATATACTTTCGATGCAATTGATCGATAAATATTTCCCGCGTATGTTAAGTGTATGAGAAAAATGACGAGGAATAAGACGTTGCCCACAGCCACGCCCTTAACTTCCGTTCGCACAAAGATGGAACTTGTTCCGACGAACAAAGATCTTTTAGCAATTTTTAGAAGAGTTCAAAGCTTTCAAACACTTTTTATTATCGTCCGTACTAATGAGAAATTTGTTTTATTTATTACTAGCCTGTTCAAAATCTTACCGACACGTAGTTACGTTAGATACTTTTTCATTTCGACTAAAAAATTTGTCCTTACTACCTAATTGGTAATTACCGTCCATGATAGCGAAAAATAAGTTTAAAGCTTTACACGAAACGCCAAGTCAAAGTACAACGAATTCAGTTGCTAATGGAAGGTCTCGATAATATCGTATAGCTACCCTCGGCATACCTAATTCTACAAAGTTGCAACCACGAAGAACGATCTGCCCACGATCTTGTATAATAAGTAACGTTAAGCGCGTGTTCGTGCGGTTTCAGATGAAACAGCGCTAAGGCGTAGCTAATATGCAACCACGCAAGAGATGATGTAATATATTATCGAATCACTTAAAATAACATCTTTCGTCTTACAAAAATAGACTGCCCGTTGTATTGTACGCCAAATGGGTAAGACACTATTTCAAATTCAAATACCAACAGACATAATACAACATATATCTTTGTGCATAGCCTTTTAGCTTTAGCTCTAGTTTTATCGAGTCTATTTTAGACTGGTAAGAAAGTTATGCGAGTGGGGTGATTCCTTGTCTCACCGTTTTCTTAATTTTCTCCTTAGATAGAATCATATATTCACGCGTGAATCCTCGTCAAATATTTTTTATAATATTAATATCATTATTTCATTTCCGATAGACCCCTTTTAGCTGCGTAATTCATGACGTTTATTAATGCAAGTCGCCCCAAGGAAGCCAGTCTGTGGTAAACTCCCTAGGCTAGAGGGAAAAAAAGAACCAAAGCAAATGTCGATTCAAGCGGAAACAAAAGATGGGG